AGTGAAGCCATCTGGGCCAGGGCTTTTTTTTGTTGGGAGTTTTTAAATAACCTTTTCAATCTCTTCTTTTGTTATGGGTTTATTTAGTTGTTCTACCTCTGTTTGTGTTAGTTTAGGTAGGTAGTTTTTAGTAATTTGTCCATTTTCTCTTGGTTTTCAAATTTGTTACAGTACAATTTTTCATAGTATTCTGTTCTGATTCTTTTAATTTCACTTGGGTCTGTTGTGATATCACCCATCTCATTTCTTATACTGGTCCTATGGCTTTTTTAAGCCATCAGTTGAAGTTTCCTATTTTCCCTGATCATCTCATTTACATTCAGTCCGCTTAGCATGTATGTATTCAACTCAACTGTGTATTTAATTCATCAATCAAACACGTTTAGTTGATGTTACTAATTGTTCTGGCTTCATGAGTGTACACTGAGTGATGCCAAATATGTAACCTTTCTACACCCCTCTTTAGCTCTTACTATATGCTTTAAAGGGGGCAATGGTCGTTCAGTGGCAGAATCTTTGCCTTTCATGCAGGAGGCCCGGGTTCAATTCCTGGCCATTGCACCTCAAGCACAGCCAACACCTGTCTGTCAGCAGAGGCTTGAGTGTTGCTATTATGCTGAACAGGTTTCAGTGGAGCTTCTAGACTAAGATGGACTAGTAAGAAAGGCTTGGTGATCTACTTCCAAATATCAGCCAGTGAAAACCCTATGGATCACAAGTTAATGATCCATAACTGATCATGGGGATAGTGCAGGAGCAAGCAGTGTTTCCTTCTATTGTACAGGTAACAACAGCAATAATGCTTTGAAAATGGCAAATGGTTAGTGCACTTGACCCTCAGTATCCATGGGGATTTGTTTCCTGCAGATACCAAAATACCAGGATGCTAAAGTCCCTTAGATAAAATGCATAGTATTTGCATATAACCTATGCTCATCCTCCTATATACTCTAAATCATGTCTAGGTTACTTATAATGCCTAATACAATGTAAATGCTATGTAAATAGTTGTTATACTATTGTTTAGGGAATAATGACAAGAAAAAGTCTGTTTCACCTCCCTCAACTATTTTTGATCTGTGGTTGGTTGAATCCGAGGTTGTGGAACCTGAAGATACAGAGAGCCAATTGTATTACTTTTAAACAGCTAAAGCGTAAAGTCAGCTTAGGCAATTTAAATACGCAGGTAGATAAGAAAAATGTGACTGCCTCTCTGCCTTTGATGACTAAAACAGGAAGACAACGACAGATGATTGTATATTTTGTTTAATACTTGCATTGTTTCTATAGCGCAATTATAGCAATCTTTAAATTTACTTTTCATTACAAATATTTGTCAAGTTTTGTTTCAGAAACATTTTTCCTACTCTCTTGCACATGCACCCACAGACACACTACAAAAAACTCATTCATAACACAGTAAGGGCAAACATCATTCATGTAAACATCTTTCATTAATTTTCCATAATTAAAAAAAATCATAGAATCATAGATATTGAATAAGGCTCATAGATTTAGTTCAAATTCCATAAAAGACCAATCAAGGATGCCTGTTAACTGTGATGGGGTTAACTTTTTGTTGCAATCAATGCTGCAAGCTGACCCCTGTCTTTCAATCCTTAAACATACCTCACAACCTAATAAATGCATTTCAGGATAAAAAGGGAACATTGGAAACCCAGGAGAAAAACTTTTGAAGCAGGGAGCTCAGAACCATGGACATAACTTTCTCAAATGATAAGTAGGCATTACATCATCCCTGTAGTTTCCCAAAACACGAATGAAGTTTAATTATAGTAACCCAAGACCTAACTAAGTAGATATGTTAAGATATATTGGCATGTGTGTACATATTGCTAGAATACACAGTGAAAATTTGTCATAAGGTTTATCATTTCATTATATTCAGGACCAAAGTGAAGAAAAAAAAAAAAAAAAAAAGCCCACTCAATGTGAATATCGTTATTAAGGAGTTTTTCAGTAACATAAGAGTCAGGAGCGTTGGGAGGTATGTCCCAGGGATGTGATTGGTCTTTATAGTAAAATGACTTCTAACAACTGTGTAAAGTCACAGACAGAGGAAACGGGTTTTCTGTTCCAAGGACGTCTCCCTCTGGTTGGAAGTTTGGCGCGTGGGTGCATAGTCTTCCAGAGCTGAGACAGGAAGTGTACTGTGCTGAGAGATGGGCCCTTTGCCAGCTGCCCCTCTCTCATTCCTCTCTGAGAGGTGGAAGCCAGGAGGCAGGGATTGCTGGCAAAACCGTGAAGTCCCACCCTGGGGTCTGACCCCAACTCCACTGAGGACAGCCTCCCTGACGTGTGTGACTAGGCAGTAAGGGTGGCGGTGGATGGCGGCCAGGAAACCCAGTTCCAAGGTTCACACGGCCAAGTCTGGCTTCTGATTCTGCTGCCCTGCAAAGAAATTGTGCTCGGGGTAACTGCACCGGTGTCTCTAATGCCTCTGATTCACTCTCGGGCCCCTGAAAGGCCGTGGTGATATCACTAAAAGGTGAACGAACACACCTCCATTAGCACCTAACTTACCACCAGGAAGCGGCTGAGGCACTGGGGAAGCCTACGAGCTCCTTCCACGTCAAATGTAACAACGCGAGTGGAGCTGCCATGAGTCAGAGTTATATGTAGGCTTTCTGAGTTCTTAAAAATCAAAACTGATCCACATTATATCTCAATAGACTCAGATAATTCTCACCAAAATTTCTGTAATTTGTTTAAATAGCACTGGAATAATTCAACTTCATTTAAATATATTCATTCTACCATGAAAATATTTCATACAAACATCTATTTACATACAAACACATTAAAATTTGTGAAAAGGATTTCCACCCCTGTGGTTGTATGGCTTGAAATAGTTTCATTGCTTTTAATATGTATGCACACATTTGGCAAAACAAAACTATGAAAATTTAGTATTTTTAAAATTAAAAAAAAAAAAACACAAATAACATTGAGGCTCCAAATTCCTAAAGGGAAAATTCAAAGAAAAAAAAATCTATCAAGTTACCTCAGGTAGATGTAAATTTAATATATTTTGTGAACCTTTGATCTGTGGCAAATGAACATTACAACTATCAGTCTTGCAACATAGTTTTGCTTGTTTTTCTAAAACAAAAAAGCATTCTTTTAAAAGATGTCTGGATTCTAAATTACTAAGAAACTTTAGGCAACTGACTTAAAGCAAAACAGAAAACTAGACCTCTACCTTCTTGGAAGATTTTAAATGCATTTTGCAGTGAGTGATTTAAAACTTCACAGACTAAATGCAAGTTACTGAAGTGCCACATACTGCCTCAATGAGAAAACCACCCTTTATTTCACTGTGCACAGTTACTGCGATTTTAATAGTTAGAATCAAGTGTGGTAAATGGTTACACTTGGCCCTCACTGTTGGGCTTTTCACGTTGTTGGTGATGAACAGTTTTTCAAGTGTGAAGAACCCCCGGAGGACAAATAGGTTTAACTACAGTCTAAGACAGATTCCAAGAGGGTTTGAAAAACTGATTTCCTTCTTAGTTTCTCAGGCAGACCAGGGATGAAGCCGGTTAAAATAAGAATAGGTACTACAAAACTCAAGTCGTCTTTGTCTGTTTGCTTTTTATGTCATCATTCCTTTGCGTCGGAAATTCAATCCTTGCAATTGTTTTTGTTAGTCCATTCAAATGTCCATTTGGGGACATACTCCTACAGATTAGTTCCTATTCCTAACTCTAATGCAGGATAATTATTTAAACATAGATAAGATGCTAAGGAAGGATACAGTCATGCAAGAGTTGGACTGAGATGGCTCTGAGGGAAGCTTCTGGAAACTACTACGGTGTCATGCACGCTTATGAGCTCCAGCTGCTTCTGGGGAGACAAAGCTATCTGTTTACACCCCACCACATGTAATTGTCCACATTTCTGTTGTGATTAGGATGTTGATGAAACTATCAGATTCAGCTGCTTTCCTGACATATTTCCTTCTACAGTGGATTTAAAGATTCAGTAGAAAAATACATTCTGAGGCTTTTCCCCTCATACTTTGGTTTAAACAAGAATAAACCCTACCATTGTTGACTTCCTCACTGTTAATTCCTTACGGAACCTCAACCTGCTCGACTTTACCTACATACCGAAAACCAAAACCAAACCAGTTGCCACTGAGTCGATTCTGACTCATGGCGACCCCATGTTGTGTCAGAGTAGAACTGTGCTCCATAGGATTTTCAATGGCTGATTTTTCGGAAGTAGATCCCCACGGCTTTCTTCCGAGGCAACTCTGGGTGGACCAGAACCTCCAACCTTCCGGTTAGCAGCCAAGTGCATTAACCATTTGTGCCACCCGGGGACTCCTACCTACATATAGAACTCTGTTAACCTCAAGCCCCTCTCCCATTCCACTCTGTGACAAAACCTTACATTTGAGAATGTGTGTCTGTGGAGAGGGGTGGGGAGAGCAGGACAGACATAGCAGACAGAGACACAGAGGAAAATGGATAGAGATACACACAGAGGGGAAAGCACCCACAGGCAGACACCCAGAGGCAGTAACAAGGGAGTAGAGAACTCAGAACCGGGAGTGAGATGAGGGAAGAGAATGGGAGAGATTGGCTGGGGTGTTGTTATACACGGACACCCAGGCTTTCTCACATATGAAGAGAGAAAGAGGAAAGAGATGTGGCAGGAGAATGAAGAGCCAGAGGAAACCGGAAGTATGAAGAGTAAGGAGAAAGAGAAGAGGCTCAGCATGGGTGTAGCTTTTCCCTCTGATTTGACTCAGAATGTTATCACCTAATATCTGAAAAATTGATTAGCTGGTTAATCACTATTTACAACTCTTCAATCCCTTTTATATATATATAAAAAGTTAGAGATTCCTTTGCATGGGATAGTTAGGACAGAAATTATACTACACTGCAGCCGCGACCAGAGCACTGATCACCCTCAGGAATGAAGTCATTCTGAGCGTAGCTGCATCGGAGACGTAACCTGCAATATCCTCTCCCTGACCTGGCTCCACACCCAACTGACTGGGATAATTAAAGCCATCTTTCTCCTGATGACAGTCACTCACTTTGGGAGACGTATGAATTAAAGCACCTAAAGAACACAAGTCCAGAAATTCTGCCCATCCGTCACAGTTTACAGAACGGTATCATTCTGCAGAATAGAAGTGATCCTATCCTGGTGTTTGTTTTTTAAATAAAAAAACCTCTATTCCATTCCCTTCGTGGGAGATCTTTTTGGCAGCCCTGACGACTCCTTCCCATATGTGAACCATCCGTTTAAGCTTTCAAACAGGGATCTAACTGGACCTCCTGAGACTGCTGCCCCCTGGTTGCAAAGCGTGCAGGCCATGCGCCTGGGCACTGTTGGTGCTGAGAAGATGGGCACTCTGGGAAGCCTGGCTTCGCTAAGGGAAGGGTCACTTCTGTCCCTGTGGGGAGGGCTGAGTCCTATACTCAGAGGCTTCCTGAACGGAAAGTCTTCTGAGCAGCTCTGGATCAAGCACCTTTGCTAAATTCTTCCAAAGAGCAATGAGCAACCAACAAGAAATAGCCACCTACCTTCCTTCTGCCTGTGTCCTCTTTGCCTGCTCCCGGTCAGCCTACTCTAATCTACCAGAGCTCATTACCTACTGTGGTTTGGAAGACGTAAGCTTTCAAGACAAAACTGACTCAGGCAACAGATGACAGTCGCAGGTCGCCACAACTACTGCTCTACAGACCTACTCAGCTATTTCATCAAGGCGTCTAGAGAAGACAGAGCTACGGCATGTGGTGAGGGCACTTATAAAAAACCCCAAAACCTCAGCATTCATTCAGAGCAATCCCAGGTATGTTACAGACCTAATTAGCTAAACTAAAAACAGGGTTTTTCTTCTTATTTCTGCAGTTGTGATTACACAAGGCTTGCAAATGGCTGAAATGCTATTGATATTCTTGCTTTTAAACTATACAAGTGTTACTCTTAATTTACAATGCATTGAAGCAGGTAAGTGCTGCGAAATTACAATAAAGAACAGTTTTAGCTTTAGGGTTTGATTTGTATCTAGTGATCAGTATGTCTGCCTTAATAGCATTGATTAAAAAAAAAAAACAACTTCTAAATTCTGTGTCAGAATTCCAAGTTTGCTATTTAACTTTTGAATTCAATGCACTATGGCATAAGCCAGACTGCTCTATGTTATGTACATTTAATGTGTACCCAAGGAGAAAAATTACTAGCACTATTGCAGATATTGCAAAATTGCCACAGAGTTACTGCTTAGAAATATTAATTTCCCTCTCTTCTTTCTGAAAATATATATTACACCTCTTCTATAACTTAATGCAAACAAAGTAAACTCATTTCTTCTCACATCTTAAAGCAAAGATATCTTTGTTTACATGCGAGAATAATAATTCTATAATAATACTCCAGACCTATGAGCTGGTTTTTTATATTTGGACATAATAATGAAAGAATGATCTAGAAAGAGCCGGAGAGACCTACACACTGCCACTGACACAAAATCCATTTGGAAGGTTTTCTTTTGTAAAAGATATCTAAGATAGGGAATAGGACTGAGGGGTGAAATGAGTCGAAAAGTGGGCTTCTGTTCACTAGGAAAAAACAAAGCCATTCTATTGCAAGATACAGATCAAAGGTTAAAAGGCAAATTATACTACACTGAGAGAATATAAAAATGAGTAATTCTCTACCCTCCATACGGCACATATGCAAGTATAATAACACAATTTGCATTGGCCATAGGAAAAAAAGAACATCATGGAAAAACCACTGACTAAAAATGACTGAAAAGCCCCATTTCCCTTTTTCAGTCTAACCGTTTGGCATCTCTGAATGTGGTACAGATTTAGACTTGAACCACCCAAGAATATCACGCTGTCTTATGTCAAATGCTCGACACTACCTCTCAGTAGGACGTTGCTGCAAGGCTAGCTAATTTTAAATCTGGTATGAGTAATACAGTCAAACCTAGTTAGTATGCAAGAAAGTCGTTACTAACGCAGGGTGAGAGGATGTGATGTCACAGCATGAGCAGTCCCTGGTTGTCCCGTTGTCGGATAAACGTAGTGCATAGATCCAAGTTTTTACTCCAGGTCTCTGAACCCAAGACCACCAGGCCTTTCACTTCTGCTGGGTGGCTTGGAAGGCCTTCAGCTCCACCTGGTACCACTCCGGGGCTTCAGGCCCACTCTTCCCTGGGGGGCTGTGGTCATAGCCATAGGCCACGGTGAGCTCCTCATCAGCCTCCACAGCGCGGAGAGTGCGAATGCACTTGATGGTTCCAAAACGGGGGTGGACAAACCTAAACATCAAGATGAGCACAGTCATTCTCAGGCCAGATCAGGAGGGAAGAAGCAAAGCTAGTCAGGGCAGGGGCAGGATCACCCTCATACACCCTGCCTTCCCTGGACACCAGCAGCAGGGACTCAAAATGTGGTCCACCGATCAGCAGCTGCAGGGAGCGTGGCAAACTAGAAAACCAGTTGCTGTGGCGTCAGTTCTGACTTAGGGCGACCCCACCTATGTCAGAGTACAACTGTGCTCCATAGGGTTTTCAATGACTGATCTTTTGAAAGTAGATTACCAGGACTTTCTTCCGAGGTGAGTCTGGGTGGACTCGAACCTCACACCTTTCAGTTAGCAAATAAGCTCTTAACTGTACCACGCAAGGATTCCAGGGAGCTATTAGAAAGGTAGAATCTTAGCCCCAGCCCAGACCTACAGAATCAGAATCTGCATTTTAACAACACCCCCAAGTGATCAGTGTCGATTAACCAATAAGCAAGGTATGCACAGGTTTAACTGTGTTTACTTACTAATCTGTAGTGCACAATGGATATGGTGAAAAACAGGTGAAATTGAGCACTACAAATCAGTAAGTAAGCACAAGTGAGCCCGTGCCTACCTCGCTTATTGGGTAGTCAGTCCCTGCAGGTGATTCATATGGACATTAAAAGTTTGAAAAGCACTGCTCCACCCTCCTTTTGGAATCCCTAGGTAGTGCTCTGCTGCTAACAGAAAGGTTGGCAGTTCAAGTTCATCCAGAGGTGCCTGGAAAGAAAGGCCTGGTGAAAAACAGCCACTGAAAACCCTATGGAGCACAGTTCCACTCTGACACACCTGGGTGTCGCCATGAGCTGAAGTCAACTCAATGGCAACTGGTTATCTTCCTTTTGGAGTGTATCTGGCACTCTATATTTATAAACCAATGAATTGTCATCAACAGCAAAAATTTGTCCTTAATGAGAAATCAGTTCCTGTACAGCCCATCAGCATTTCAGCTCTTCTGGCCGATCCCTGCAGCATCAGATTACCTGGCTGTACCTCAGGAGAAGGGCTTTTGGATTTGTAAGAAAAAGCTCTGTGGGTTTTCAAAAGCAAAACCCTATATATTTCCTCTGTACATACAGAGGAAATACTATTTTCTGGAATAAAAGTAGATGAAGATTTCCTTCCAAGAGGAAAGTCTAGACTCCTCAGCCAACTGCTTACTTTAATATTGCCCTGTGAAGGGAGCAGTACCTCACACAGTAACAACTCCTCTCAAGCCTATGCTAGGACCATGTTCATCATCTATAGAAGAATCCTGATCAAAAGGGGGAAAAATGTAGAACAGATTTTAAAATTATCACGGACTTCAGACTTTCTGGAGCCACGGAAGCTAGATGAACCCCTGAAACTACTGCCCTGAGATCATCTTTAAACCTTAAACCAAAAATACCCCTGAAGTCTTCTTAAATCCAAACTATAGTTTAGCTTAACTAGTAAAAAAAAATCTGCCTTGAACATTATGCTCTTTTAAAAACTATCTACATGGGATCAAATTGATGGCAGCAATTCAAAAAATTAGACAGGAACCTCAAGGTGCAGTGAGTTTATGTTAACAGAGGTAGAACAACTCAGAAAAGGAGGGTGAAAAAGGTTGTACAACTTGAAGAATCTAATCAATGTCACTGAATTGTACATGTAGAAACTGCTAACTTGGTGTATGTTTTGCTGTGTATATTCTCAACAACAAGATAAATAAAATTAAAAAAACAAAAACGAAAGAGAGACCATGTTCATCTGCCAACGGCTCCCAACCCAGTTCACCTGCATGGCTCCCCACAGGACGACAGGCAGATAAATAAGTAACAGACTTAGCTCACCTTACAGCTGCTGAAACAGATATAGGTAAGGCATGACCAGAGAGAAATTAGCTTTCTTTTTCTATGCATCTGGTCAAATCAACCTCATTCGTTTATAGTCACATTTTGAATCAGGGACAGTTCAGACACTGATAGAGAAGTTTTTAGGCTGAGTTCGACTGGCACGTTGGCATGGCAGTAAGGACTTGGTTGGTTTCCTGTATCAGTGGTGGGGAAAGAAATGTGTCTGTAGTTTAGAGACATCTTTTGTGTAGAGTAGACAGGAACTCCCTTTACCTTGCACACAGAGGGGACTCAATGTCCCCCGTACTTGGCTGTCATGTTTTGTGGAAGGCAAACCTGAGTTCGAATCAGAAGACTTTGGTGTGAATCTTGGCTCTACTCAGTATTAGCGCATCTCCTTGGAAAGGTCACCTGATATCTCTGAATCTCACATTCCTTGTCTGTACAATCATGATAGTACTAGTGATACATATTCCACAGAGCCTCTGTGATGAGAAAATGGGATCACGTGTATAAAGCACCTCTACAGTGCCTGGTGGGAGAAGTGGTGGTTCAGCGGTAGAATTCTGGCCTTCCATGCGGGAGGCCAGGGTTTGATTCCCAGCCAATGCACCTCATGCTCTGCCACCACTTGTCTGTCACTGGAGGCTTGTATGTTGCTATGATGCTGAACAGGTTTCAGCAGAGTTTCCAGACTGAGACAGACTAGGAAAAAAAAGGCCTGGTGATCTACTTCCAAAAGTCAGCCAGTGAAAAGCCTATGGATCACAATGGTCTGATCCACACCTGATCAGGATGGCGAAGGATCAGGCAGCAATTTGTTCCATTGTGCATGGGGTCGCTATGAGTCGGGGAAGACTCAACAACAGCCAACAACATAGTGCCTGGTACAAAGTGAGGGCTCAACTAAGTTACTCTGTGTGTGTGTGTGTGTGTGTGTGTGTGTGAGTGTGTGAGAGAGAGAGAGAGAGAGAGAGAGCATGCATGTAAGTGCACAGAACTTCTGAGATTGTACTCCATTACAGAGGATATCCCTGGACCAAGGATTCAGGGATTCCTTATTAAAACCACAGCTCTTTGTCTCTACATTATTATATTTGATTAAAAAATAATACTCCTGAAATGGAGCTCTGGTTAACATTCTGGTGCACTGAAAAAAAATCATGTCTTGACTTTCTGGACCTAAAACTTCTCTTATGACCCTCTTGTATTGTCATTTTCCTGCACATGATCATTATTGTCAGAGAGTAGTTAATGGGCAGACTGAAAAGAAAGAACTCAAATAATCTCAGGTGCCGACTCTTCAAGCTGGTGGTAATACACAATGGCTAAGGGTGCTTACACCTTCCAGATGTGCATTTCCTCATCTGTGGTGGGAAGTAGTAATAGTGGTTGCCTTACTGAATTACTGGGAGGCAGTATACTCAAGAATAATACTCAAGAAGTATTTTGCACAGCACCTGACATAAAGTAAGTGCTTAGTAAATGTTAGCCGTACTCAGGGCTTCGAACCGGTTAGTTCTGGTTCGAACCCCTGCTGATAATTTTTATTTCTAACAAGTTCCCAGGTGATGCTAATGCTACTGGTTAGGGACCAATTCTGAGAACCACTAGTACAGCAGTGGTTCTCAAAATTTACTGTAAGAATCACCTGGGGATCTTGTTAAACTGTAGATTCTGATTCCGAATATCTGGGTGGAAAAGCAAATTCTCAGCCGGGGTTCCAACCGGAATGAACTGGTTTGAAGCCCTGGCTGTACTAGAAGCAGTCAAACCAAATCTCTGCATCAAGTGGTTCGGCCCCTTGTCGACGTGTTACCTGTATATATATTTACAGCTAGGAAAGGAATTTTTGTCTATTTGTACCACACAATTAAAAGAGCTTACAGAAGTGTTTTATTTATGTTAAAATGTACATAACAATACCAGTGATTTTAGAAATAAGTAAGTATCATGAATTGGTATCTGACTTTTATATCTGGTTATTATTCAAACGTCCTCCCATTACCCCCAAATAACTAAGATTTGGTCAGACTGGGCTTGCAAAAGAAACCTGCAGATTACAGGGACTGGATTTTGCACAAACAGTACCTTCTCTGGTCTTCTGGGCTCTCTTCTCTTTGGTGAGAAAAGTCACGTCCTTATAATGAAATCACAGAACTAATTTGTCTTAAAAAGAGTAGTCCAAGTTGCCTTTATTACCATCAGTTATCACCACTGTAAAGCGCCGTGAAGCTGTGCGCAGCCTGGCACGATGCTGTGGCCTAATTCACATGGGCCACGAAAGCCTCAGCGTTAATGGCAGTGTCAGTTTCATTTCACATGACACATGTCCTTTGCCATTTCAATCCACCCTTTAAACAGAAGTTGTAGCTTCATTGCTTGCTACCAACTGCCAAGAAGAACAAGTCACTGCCAGAACAATTTTTAAACCATCTCGAGGATGCAAGAAAGGACATTCTTGAGGACTCTCCAAATCCTGGCAATTTTTCTGCATATTGAATGCGCATGAATTGATCTTACTTATGCTTATGCTTATCCCAAGGTGTAACTGCAGAAAAGGCTGCCCACAGCTCAGTGACTCCCAGGAAGAACTGGCATTCCCAGGGCAAACTAAAGAGAGCAACCATGATGATGCAAAGATTCACACTTATCCTTTAAAGGAATAGTCAAAGAAACCAGAGACGCTTGGCTTTGGGAAGAGAACATTCAGGGAGC